AAAGTCTTTGAGACCTTTTTGAAAAAACTTGTTCGCAGGACATCTAAACAGCAAGAGGAAGAGTTCAGTAAAACAAAGGGCTGAAGAAACAGTTGGAGCAGATGTGGAAGGTAAAGTTGAAAAGGGTCCCAGTGATAATGGGAGCATTAGGAGCTGTAACCCAGAGTTGCAGCAGATTCCAGGAACAACATCTCGGCGTCAGAGCTCCATGTGGACGAGTGCAGTCTTGGGGTGTGAAGGAGATTTTGCATATATATGTGTGAGCTGATGACTCACGTGGAAGAGGAAGTAGTTTTCAGGGAGATAAATGGCTGACAGCTGAACAGAAACCAGAAAAACGAAAGTGAAAATGTGGGAAATAACACATCATAGAAAGTCATTAACAGCATCACGATGGGTGTAGTGGCTCACAAGCTTTTCTTCATAAAGTTAAAGAGATACTGATACTTTACAGATATGTATTTACCCTTTGTAATACTCTGCAAGTTACCTTTTTATTCATTGTGTTTGACACTGCGTCCATAGTGTGATGATTGTTTACAATACTTGTCACTAATCATGAATAAAAGCCTCTGTTTAACTTGTATGTAAATCTGGGTCAAAAGACTGTGCAGAATGACTATTACCCATTTTATGACTTTTTATAGCTGTGAATGTTTAACGAGTATGACCCAGATTGAGGTCAGCTGATAAGTCAAAGTCAAACAAAACATCGTAATTTATGGTTAGAATAAATAAACAGCTGCTTTGTAAATCATTCATAATTTATAAAGAGATGCAACACCGTTAAACTCTGAGTTATCGTGACACACTCAGACTTGCACCATGTTCCCCTCTGGCAGTGAAATATGATTTATCATTGATCAAAACCAGTGAGCGTGTAAATATTTGATCAGAGCTGATGTATGAACACTGTCACCTCTCACCTATATTTTCTTGTCAAATGAAGACCTGCAGCTGAGTCACACATGCATGGGTCAACCAGAGCATTTATTGGCCTGTGGGAAGTTAATCAATTATGGCTTTTGAGAATCACAGACAGGATCTGAGACTTGTTCTGCACTCATTCATTGTTCTCCTCACCTGCATTTCAGATAACTCTCATTTGGAAATGACCAACATGAAGTCCAAATCGCAGAGCCAGAGCGATGAGGCCGAGGGCCCGGATGGAGGCTGGGGCTGGGTGCTGGTTGTCGCCATGTTTGTCAGCTCGAGCCTCGTGTTCGGCCTGATGCGGAGCCTGGGCATCTTCTTTGTGGAGTTCGTTCAGTACTTCGAGGAGAGCGCCCAGGCCATCTCCTGGATCTCGTCCACCGGCCTGGCTGCTCAGCAGTTCTTCAGTGAGTCATTGATGTTTGTGGAAGTGTGAGTTTGCAGTTTGTAGTATTACAGGTGACAACTGTACAGTAATTATTTTTCTTTCTTAATGCATTAAAACACTTATGGTGAGACTAAAGGGTAAATACAGACTACTACAGGATGCATATGTGACCCTGTTTGGATTAAGGTCTTTCAACCTTAAAACTTCTAAAGGGGGGAAAAGGTTGATATAGTTATAAATAAATGATGTAAATGTGTTTGCTTGTTCTGCAGGTCCACTGGCCGCTGCACTGTGTAATGCTTACAATCCCAGAGTGGTGGTGATGACGGGAGGCTTTCTGGCCGGGCTCGGCCTCACACTTGCCTCGCAGTCCACCTGTCTCGTACACCTCTACCTCACGATGGGAGTAATTTCAGGTAACGTGTATTAGAGTCTTAAACCACCAGTTTTAGCCCGCTTTAGCTCCTGTTTTTTGGCACATCCAGTGAAAAGCATCGATACACAGCTGTAGCACTTTCAACTTTAACTTACAGTTAGGGTTATCTGGGTGTCACAATGTTACGGTAAAAATGTTAAAAATACTTAATTCAGAGCTAGCAGTCATAATTAAACTCACTTTTTAAAGAAAGATGACTTCTGCACATCGTGCAGAAACAAGATTCCGTTCAGTTCAGTTCTGCTTTATTTATACAGCACCAAGTCACAACAACAGTTATCCCAAGGTGCTTTATTTTGAATGTAAAGACCCTACAACAATACAGAGAAAACCCCAACAATCAGATGATCCCCTATGAGCAAGCACTAGGCGACAGTAGGAAGGAAAAAAAAACCTTAAAAAGGAAGAAACCTCCCACAGAACGAGGCTCAAGGAGGGACACCCATCTGCTTTGCTTGGCTGGGGGTGAGGGGAGGGAGGCGGAACAAAACCATGCTGTGGAAGAGAGCCAGAGATTAATAATAATTCACAAAAAGACAAAATACAAGTCAGAATGACTCAGACACAGGTAAATGTTCAAAATGAACACGCTGCACTGCTGAACTCATTTCAAGCCGTGTGACAAAAAGCACAAAACCGCATCTGAGACGTGACATCACAGACGAGCAGCAGGTGTATTTCAGGCGTGAGTCACTCACACAGGTGCAACTACACTCTTGTTACGCTGCAGAGTGTAGTTGTTTTCAGTTATTGCTGCTTCTATGCATGCCATGAGCTAACTGTCCCCCCTCACTACACCGTCACCAACAGATCTGCTTTAAGTTTGGTGCTTCAAGATGTTTTGTACACACACCGTGTACTGCATACATCAGTGGTATTATTTTGTACTATTTACCTTGTGCACTTTGCCAGTGTTCTTCTACTCGTGTTGTGGTGTTCACGCTCATTTGATATGATAGTGCATCCACCCAGTTTCCCGTACTCATCAGAGGAAGAGCGCAAAAAATAGATTTTTGTTTTCCAAGTCAGCTGATGGGTCAGAGAAACATTTTTATTTCACATTTACAATATGTTAAGTTGTGTCTCCCATCTGTGGAGCCTGAGGTTGTCTTACAGCTTTGTAATATTTACTGACCGAAAGTAGGATTTTCTTTTCTTTTTCTTTTTTTCCCCAGGGTTTAAAGAGGGTTTTAACAGTTAACCGATTAACTCGTAAAGTAGTGAACTGCTCGCTTGCCTCTCACGGTGTACTTTGCTCGCTTTGTGCTCCAGGTTTTGGATGGGGGATGGTCTTCACTCCCATGGTGGCCACAGTCATGGCTAATTTCACTCGCCGGCGTGCCCTGGCTCTGGGACTGGGGTTCTCCAGCATCGGCCTCTCCTCCTTCGCTTTCAACCCGCTCTTTCAGCTGCTGGTGGAGACGTACGCCTGGCGAGGGGCCCTGCTGATCCTGGGGGCTCTCAGCCTCAACATTGTACCCTGCGGGGCGCTGATCCGTCCGCAGCGGCGCTCTAAAGCACCGGCAAAGGTAGAACAGAAGGAGGAGCAAGGCAGTGGTCTGGTTTAAGTAAAAACGTCTCTCTCAGAGAGGAATATCATAATGTTCTCTGTCATAACCATCAGGACAGAAGAGTAAAGTTTCTTGCTCACTGACTTTGGAGCGATATGTAAAGATAAAGCTCAGACTTTCCTTGTTTCCTCTCCTGCAGGTGGATTCAGAGACAAAGTCATGTGCGTCCATGCTGCGGCGCATCGCCTCTTACCTGGAGCTGTCCCTGCTGACTGAGAGGCCCTATCTCACTTACACTTTGGGCGTTACGCTGTTTAACGTCGGCTACTTCGTGCCTTACTTCCACCTGGTGGCCCACAGTCGCCAAGTTGGCTTCTCAGAGTACCAAGCTGCCTTCGTTATGTCAGCTGCAGGTGCTTCGGACATTTTGGGGCGCGTAGTGTCGGGCTGGTTCTCTGACCTGGGCCACTTTCGGGTTGTTCATTTACTGACCTTGTGGACAGGCCTAGCAGGAGTGTTTATCATGCTGCTGCCAGTGAGCTCCATGTCTGGCTCCTACGCCGCTCTGATGGTGATCAGCCTGCTTTATGGCTTCTGCTCTGGGGCTTTGACCTCCGTTGTTTTTGCGGTGGTGCCCATGATTGTGGGTGTGGAGCGCACGATGGGGGCACTCGGACTGCTGCAGCTCATCGAGAGTGGTGCTGGACTTCTGGGGACTCCTTTGTCAGGTAAGTGTGCGTTAAAGCTGCTGAGATAAAGCCAGCTTATAACAAAAATGACTCCATTGTAGCTTTAGTTTGAAAAGAATCTATCTAAAGTGACCAAAATCAGCCCAAAATACAACACACTGAATGTGGTGCTGTCATAAGCTTGGATAACTGCTCTTATAAAAGGCAGACACCTTGTCTGCACACCTGCTACTTTTCAGATCACTTTGTGGCATTTTACTGTTAACCTCAAACCTGTGCAGAGAGCAAAAATCAAGTTTTGTGAAGCCGATCCGACTTTCACTTTTAAAAATCATCACTGGACGTGCGAGCTGCGGCACCTCAGGTTTTGGTTAGTGTCACCAGAATCATTCTTTCTCCACATTCAACCCAAAGCAGAAAGCTTTGACGATAAAAAATGAGCTGTCAGAGCACGCAGTTCCTCAGGTGGCCACATGAGGCATTCTGCAAAAGGGAATCAGTCCAATACAGACTCCTGAGTGTAGCTGCTTTGATTGACTGGTGTTTCAGACGGCTGTAGCCAATAGGCGAGTCTGCTCAGCCTCACCTCTGGGTCACTAAACTGCACCTCTTTGTGCTGGTGGTGCCTTTTGGAGTATTTTACTGCAATTATCTGACTAATATCAGAGCTTGCAGTATATTAAATAACACCCACGAAGTTGGTGGCACATTGAGTGAAATTCTGGCATTTTATCAGTGTGTTATCTAGCACTACAAGCAGATATGTGCCCATGTGTTGCACTCGTACAATTTATGGATGCAGCTTGTGTAACCGAGCCAGCTAGCATTAGCTAGTAACTGATTGGCGTGTTTCTGTTTTAGGTTAATTTCAAAGCATGTAAAAAAGAGTTTAACACAAAAATGAACCCTTTTACAGATCAAATGTCTGGTCTTAGGTTTCCTGCCACATTTTTTCCACTTTAACTGTCTGCACTGTTAGAGGTCACTGGATTCAAGGCAGAAAAATGAATGAGCTGTTCAGAAGCTCTTATTTTACCCTACAAGGCTTCTTTTTTACTAGTATTCAATGATTAAACGTGTGATTTTGCAGAGCTTTATCAGGGCTTCATCTTTTTTAAACACTGCAGTGTTT